TGGGCACTTCAGGCGGCGGGTTCCCGTTTTTCTCCGTGACAGCACCTCCCTCGCGTATCACCCCCCCCAGAAACACCTGCCCCACAAGCCTCGGATTCGCCGGGTCGGAAATGTCGTACTGGCGCAGATCGCCTTGCAGCCAGTTGGAGAAATAGAGGAAGCGGTCGTCGAGCGAGATGAGAATGTCGGATATGAGCCCCGGGAGTTGCGGGAGAGCCCAGCCGTCCACGTCCTTGGGCTCGACGCGGATGACCACCTGGCGGCGAGGGGGGTATAAGGGAAAAAATCCAGCACAATTGGGGGTATTAGGGTAAGAATTCAGTAAGGAGGAACTTTTCAGTCCTATTTAGCTGTGTGGAATGTGGCATGCAAAGGCGATGAAACGGGAGCGATCGTGAGAGACATTGAGAATGTCAGATATGAACCTCGGGAGTTGCGGGAGAACCCAGCCGTCTACCTCCTGAGCGTCTCACGTCAACACGTCGACCGGCAATTCCCACCCACCCAGGTTCACTTACATCAGTGCTCCATTTTCCCGCGTCGTCCTTGCTGATTCGAATGATGTTGCTGCTGAGCGCAGCGCCGACGAATCCCACCGCCTTATCCGGATCGTGCACAAATCGAATCCCCAGGGGGATTAGCCCCTCGTTCCCCAAATCGACGGTTTGAGTCAGCTCATGCGTCGTCCAATCCCAGAAGTACAAGTGCCGCCCGTAATCCTCCGCCACGTGTCCCGGGTCGAATCCCTTGGTGAACCGCTTCGGCGCCCCCCAGGCGCTACTAACGAGTACGTTATGCCGCGGCTGGTACCAGTAGTCATAATGGAACGGAAGCTTCGCCCCGCCTTCCTTCTGCCACCGGCCCTTGACCTCTAAATCCTCGCTCAGTAACAAGAATCCCGTGTCGCCAGCGTTACCCTCCGGGTCGCCCAAAGCGGAGATTAAGATTTCTCCGGAACCCAGGCAGTGCGTCGTATGAAGGTACGCCAGCCCGGTTTTCGCGGCGATATCTTCGGCCTGCACGACCTTGTGGAGGGACGGCGCGCGCGGATCGGTCGCGACATCCACGGCGTAGACGCGGCTCGACCTGGAGTATTGGTAGCGTGTGGATCATTGAGGCAAAAGGTGAGGTGTGAGCTTCGTCTAGAATAACTGGTGCTTCAGACGTTTTTAGTGGCGAAATGGTTGAATTGGGCTCCACAATTTTATAGAGATGCGTGACGTACTGTAGAGCCGGCATGACGAGGTATTTGCGCGACTTGGTGGGATCGTTGACGCACGAGCTACATGCGTTCCATCCTGCGATGCACAACGCGAAAAAACAAAGAAGCTCTTATAACTAGTACACGTGAATTGCAATTAAGCAGCACCGAGTTCGATACCGAAATCATTAGATACCGGTGGCCAAAAAATTCTTGGACCACGTAATTCGTTCACTAAAGAGGAAAATATCCGCGTCATACCTGAGTGATGGAGCTCGTCATTAAGGTGCGGCATGAATAGCCGGTGGATTACTTGACCGAAACTTTCCGATTCTGGATCCACGTCAATTGTTGCCAGGAAATCCGGTTTCTCGATGCCTGTCCCGGTGTAGATACCCGTCGTGTACAGCAGCTTCTCGCGCGGTCCCTCCATGGCTTTTAGCGGGGATACGTATCCGGGGCCCTTGCCGCAGCAAGAGCCCGCTGCCACATCAGCGCCGGACTTACCGCCACCCATAGTTGTCTGCGTTTGGACTGGGAACTGAGCAGCAGCACCTCCAATTACGGGCCTAAGACCGACGCTAGAGGGACAGACTATGAGTTACGAGGTAAATCTTTATTGCAGAATAGAGTGGTCACAAGAACGAAGGCTGACAACTAGATGAAGATTGAACTCATGGACTTGTATCACAGGCTCTTCCGAATGGAACGGTTTGAAGTTGAATGCCTTCTTGGTGACAGAGGCGTTAGTACAGGTTCGGGGAGGGCGAACTGGGGAGGGGAGGGGGCGAATTTGAAAATTGGAAGTGGGGGGTTGCGCTTGGGCGGACGAATCCAGCCCAATCCAATGCATGACTTGCGCATTCACAAGCCAATTCCTTCTCCTCGCCAAACAAAGGCAGGTACACCCTATGCGCTTCCGAACTTGTCCACGCGTGCGGTTCGTCCATGTGCGTCGAAATTGTGCGATTGGTGCAATTCAGCGAACCTGCAGCATTTCAGGTTTTGCGTGTAAATTCGACAAGAGCATTGCGGGACTAGGCATAAGCGTATGACATCCGTATTACACCTTAGTGAGCGTGCTTATATCAAGAACGCGGAGCACCCCAGTCCCGCCCGACACGTTCGAGGTTCCACTTGCCGAACTTCGTCCGTGGCGAGTAGTGCAGAAAGCCCTAAAAGGGATATGTTACTGTACCCTGGCATTATCCACAACATACTTGCACAAAAGCACTACAAAACGAAATTCATCCGCCAAACCTTCCGCAGTCCCGTTATCTCGTTTTCGAGTCACCTCAGGATTACCACCAGCCTAGGCATCGTTCCACGCAGAAGGCGAGGGCGGTGCGGCCCGAGCAGCTTTGCTGGCTAGTAAGCGGGAGGAAGTAGGAAAAGAAGGTTACGCCTCATTGTCGCGCTTCGTGCATTATGTTCCCATGAAGTCGCCGGTGGAGTGGGAATTGCGTTAGTAGCTCTCTCTTTATTGCAAAAGCTGGGATTTATGACCTTCAAGTTCACCTTATGGAGGTTCTTAAACGAATAGACTGTTAAGCTCGTGCGCAGGGGCAACTGAACGTATAACAGCGAGGCTAAAAATAATTGCTCTTACTGTCCTTTCTGCGACAATCTATATATTCTCTTACGAACTCGCGTGTACATTTGCGTCGGTCCCAGTCTTATCGGTACAATGCAGCCGCACGGGAACTGTCGTCCACCAGGCGACAGTTTCGCCGCATTCCCTGCATTCTCATGGCTGAATGATCCGTCTCAATCTGGAGCCTCCACGCATCTATTCCGGCAGCAGCAACGGCAGCAGCAGGAGCAGCAGCAACATTTACAGCAGCAGCAAATACAGCAGCATAGTCAACAGCAATGTTCTCCGCAGCAGCAGCAACGGCAGCAGCAACAGGAAGCGCGACCTCCTCTGCCGCAACCCCAGGCTGTCCCATACCCACTGGACACATTTCAACCTCGAAACCCTAACTTTCCGCGGCCCGAGTCGACAGCACCTGCAGCGCCAGCGGCGCCGGCGGCGGCGGGTTTGGAGGAGTGGTTGATGCAACAGGAGGTTCGCCGCGCCGGTCCCTCTACTGAGCAATTAGCGCTTTTGGAGCTTCTGGCACAGCAACAGCTGCAGCAGCCGCAGCAGCAGCAGCCGCAGCAGCCGCAGCAGCAGCAGCAGCAGCAGCAGCAGCAGCAGCAGCAGCAGCAGCAGCAGCAGCAGCAGCAGCAGCAGCAGCAGCAGCAGCAGCAGCAGCAGCAGCAGCAGCAGCAGCAGCAGCAGCAGCAGCAGCAGCAGCAGCAGCAGAAGCAGCAGCAGCAGCAGCAGCAGCAGCAGCAGCAGCAGCAGCAGCAGCAGCAGCAGCAGCAGCAGCAGCAGCAGCAGCAGCAGCAGCAGCAACAACAAGAGCAGATTCCCCCGGGAGTGCTTCTGGCGCTTCTTCAGCAGACCCTTCTAGGAGCCTCCAGACCTCGTGGGCCCGTCAACCAGGGCCCCTTAAATCAGGCCCCCTTGAATCAGGGCCCCTTAAATCAGGGCCCCATAAATCAGGGCCCCTTAAATCAGGGCCCCATCAGTCAGGGCCCCTTAAATCAGGGCCCCATCAGTCGGGGCCCCATAAATCAAGGCCCCATAGATCAAGGCCCCATCAGCCAGGGGCAGCTTGGGGTTGCGGCTGAGTCGACTCAAAAGTCATCTGGTTACAGGCATGCTGCTGCTGCTACTCCAGCAATGGACGGTGCTTTGGGGCGCGGGCCCCAGGAGACGGCCACCAGTGCCGACAGCAGCAACGCTGCTGCCACTCGGTTCATGCCACGTGCTGGAGCAAGTTCTGCTTCTGCTCCTGCTGGTACCGTACTTGCTGCTGCGGCAGCGACTGTTGGTGGTGCTACGGCATCTGCTGCTGCTGCTGCTGCTGCTGCTGCTGCTGCTTTGGTCGCCCCAGCAGCGGTTGGAGAGAACAGGTTCAGATTGGGCAACGAGGAAGGAAAGAGGGCAGAAGAAGAACGGGGGATGAGGGGAGAGGGGCGAGAGCGGGACGCCAATGTGAGGGGAATTGGCGCACACAGGGAGGGAACAAGAGTGAGGGAGAGTGCGAGTGTGAGGGGGGCAGATACAGTGCAGGCAGAATGCAAGCCGTTAACAAATATCGTTGAGGTGTCTCAGCACCCATTTCAGCCCCTGCCGAAACCCCTTCCTGGAGCCCTGCTTGAAGAACAGAATCAAACACTGCATGAATCTCTGCCTGAAACCCTCCTGGAAAGCTTGTCCCAAGCCGTGCCCCAACCCCTGCCTGAAGGCTTACCTGAATCCGTACCTGAAGGCCTACCCGAAGGTTTGCCTGAAGGTTTGGCTACAGGTTTGCCCGAGCATGTCCAGGTGGAGTGGCGGCCGCGCACACGAACCCGGTGCGATGCCGGCGCGATCGCGAGGGGGGTGATCAAACCCCGGAGCATGAAGGAGAGGCGGCGGCGAGACAAGATCAGGTGAGCTTCCGGGCAGTGGATTTTTTCGTCTTGTCTCCGCCCCCGTCTTCCCCCTTCCCCACTTGCACCACCAACGACGGCAAGAGGGGTGAAAAAACCGCGGAGCATGAAGGAGAGGCGATGGCGAGGCAAGATCAGGTGAGCTTGTGAGGCGACAAATATACCCCTTTCATACTCCTACTTCTCTACCTGCCCCCTCTAACCCCCCACCGCCCCATCCACCCCTCCACACCCTCTTCCCCTTCATGAGCAGCGATGGGTTGCGGCAGCTGAGGCAAGCGCTCCCCGCCATGCTGCTTGGGCCGCGGCAGGACATGGCGTCGATGATTGAAGCGGCCATCCACCATATTGGCAATCTCGAGGTAAGCTGCTGGGCTGGGTTCGGCTGGGCTGGGCTGGGCTGGGCTGGGCTGGGGGTGGCCCGGGCTCGTCTTTGTGGCTTCTTCCACTTACATTCTTTTGCGATCGTACATTGCAAACAAAAGTGATGGCTGTTTTTAGTATTCCTTTTTTTTTAAGCCCATCTGCTGACAAACGTGCATGTCTTGGCTTCCCGCCGCCTGATTGTCATTTTCATGTTTCCCTACGTTGCACCATCTTCTCATGTTCCAGTCCCGCATCCAGGAAATAGAGGTAGATGGGGATGGGGATGGGGATGGAGGGGAAAGGGGGTCTTTAAAGAAGGAAACTGTGACTGGATGTGAGATGCCTGGGAGCGGGCTTCGGGATGTGAAGGCGGAGGAAATGGAAGAGGAAATGGAAGAAGACACGGAAGGCAGCTCTGAAAATGAGGAAGATGCAGACAACTAGGATGGCCACGATTCACGCATCGACATTTAACTTACAGACTGAAACATCAAGTCATGTCCAAGCTACCTTGCTGAAAGTTTGACGCGAACAACAATAAAGCTTTATCTCAAGCTTAAATTATTTGTAAGTACATTGTGAAATGCCGACCCAGCTGCATTGTAGGCGTTCATCCGCGCTTGGCTCCGTTTTAGGAAAACTCAATCAATCACCAAGCGCAACAGAGAATATTCCACGACCTGTGCCACCGCCTTACCTCAGAACTTATCAAATCCTGCTCGCTCGCTTGCAGCTTCCTTGCAGCATGAGTGACTACAGCGAAGCGACGACAACAACGTTACACGCGCGGAAAAGCTTTCAACTGTAGACTTGAACCGTCATCGTCACGCGCATGATGAATCCACCTGTTGATTGGCTGTTATTTGCTGGTTCAATCGAATCTGATGACTTGGACCAGGGGAATCAGATTTGTTAGATCGGCAAACTCTGTGGAATGAATGGCGACTTCACTTTCCTCTTGTCGCAGAGCTGGAAGACGAAGGACTCTACAGACTGTTACAGCCAGGCACGAGAGTTAGCCAGTTACAAAATCACTCGCCGAATCAAGTTACAAGATTCTGCGAGTAATTCGAGAGATGCGCAAGATTCGTGACTTGCCGTACCTTAGCGACGAACAGAGGGGCATTCATCGTCAAAGGGTTACTACATAACCCGTGTTCCCCCTTCGGATTGAGCCCTTCACGATCTACTGTACTTGCAGCTTTCTGCGTGTCTTGGGTGCAACATTTTCCCTCTTTGTCCGATCTTTCCTTCTGGCGGTTTCTGAAAATATTTGACTCGATCCACACGACCCAGTCGTACGCCATCACGCGCATTCGCCTACACTGGCCCATTTTTCACTCCACGCTTCGCCATCCCTGTCATTTTCCGATGCCCACTTGGAACAGCTGACTTTCCCTCACCGCCAGCAGCATTACAGCTGGAGTGCCCGATCGCCCGCGTATCGAAAATTCACAATCTCTTTTCTTCCAGCTTTTTACCGAGTGAACCAGTCCTAGTTTCCTTGAACTAGGGTCCACACGATCACCACACACTGAACCACCACGAGCCCCCGTCTCGCCTCGTTCCGTTTCATGCTGATCTACAAAGGGAAATTATACGCGCAGTCACAATTATGGCCGTATTATCACGTTTGGTCATGGGGTTATCACGGACAGTCACAGTACAGTACTTCGCTATCACGCATGATCACAGCGCTATCACGCTTGATCACTCCTCGCCCCGCAGGGTTATCACGTTTGGTCACTCGTTGAAACGCCCGCCAAAAAGTCGAAACTCTCAAATCTACTGTACAGATTCGGGTACTTTTATCTCGCGCGCGTTTTGTCTGTAGTGAAAAACGTGATGTGACTGTCGAAATATACTCGGTCCTTGTTAGGGACCGATGCAGTTTAATGCAGAGTCCGCATTTTGCAGTGAATATACGCGATCAATAGCAGTTTCGATTATATAATCACTCTTCTCTTTGTAATTGATACCTTGACATTATGTTTTGCACACGTAGTAATAAATAACCCAATTACACAATGTCATTTGCATATCAACCACCAGTCAATCTTGGATTTGAGTAGGCATACGATATGGTGAATTAAACAAGCTACAGGGAGGGAGGTATCAGAGGTAATTCTCCCTCAAATCCAAGATTGACTGGTGGTTGATATGCAAATGACATTGTGTAATTGGGTTATTACTGCATGTGCAAAACATAATGTCAAGGTATCAATTACAAAGAGAAGAGTGATTATATAATCGAAACTGCTATTGATCGCGTATATTCACTGCAAAATGCGGACTCTGCATTAAACTGCATCGGTCCCTAACAAGGACCGAGTATATTTCGACAGTCACATCACGTTTTTCACTACAGACAAAACGCGCGCGAGATAAAAGTACCCGAATCTGTACAGTAGATTTGAGAGTTTCGACTTTTTGGCGGGCGTTTCAACGAGTGACCAAACGTGATAACCCTGCGAGGCGAGGAGTGATCAAGCGTGATAGCGCTGTGATCATGCGTGATAGCGAAGTACTGTACTGTGACTGTCCGTGATAACCCCGTGACCAAACGTGATAATACGGCCATAATTGTGACTGCGCGTATAATTTCCCATCTACAAATAGCAAACCCGCTTTCGGCCAAACTTACCCACCCACAACTAAACTTCCCTCCTGCCCCGTGTGACCCGTCACTCAGTCCTTGCCTTACCTGGCCCGACTCTCCCACGGACTTTGCCAAACTCCCAGGCTCCCAGTCTCCCACCCGTTCACATTCCCATTCTGTCCTTTTCCTTTCAGCTCGTCTCAGTTCATTCCCTCCCACAGATGTCCCAACCACACGAACATCAGCAGCAGCAGCCGCGGCATGAACAGCAGCCCGAACAGCCCAGCGCTGACTTTTCGTTTCACGAAGCCGCGAAATTGCTGCTCGACTCAGAACATCTCGATTACTCCCCCGCGTCGCTGCTGCTAGACGAAAGCTTTGCTTCATTCGCGCAAACTACTAGCTCCAAAAAGCACATCCCTTCGCCTGTCGCCTCTGCTTACAACTGCGGCCGAGCCGCGCTAGAAGAAGATATTCTCGAAGCACTGATAGAGGGGGGTTCCGCCGTAAACGGGTCTCTCGTCGCAATTTCCGGAGCGCCCGCTCCCGACGGCGACTCTTCGCTCGATAGAAGCGCTTCGCGTGACGCGAAACATTCGGAATTTTATCATCGAGCCTCAATGGTTCCCGGCGATCTTGATCGCGACGAAATTCGGCATTTAACAGCCGCATCCGGCGCAGCGCCTCGAGGCGGCGGCCGCGAAGGGTGTGACTTCGTCAATGACCGCGCCGCGGCTGCACCCGCCGCCTTTGCCGCTCCGCAAGACGCGCGGCGGGAACAGACACAGCACGATGGCGCCGGGCTGGCGTCGCGAGTCGCCACCGAAACGGCGTCTGCGGCCGATGTCGAGCAATGGCTTCGCGCGCTGGAAGAGGTTAGCGGCGCGGCTGACGGCGACATTGCCGGCGCGGCGCTGGCGCCAGGCTTGCAGATTCCCTTCGATTTGCTCCAACAATCTGCGGACGCCGCGTTGTTCGCTCAGCTTCAGATGCTCTCCTCGCAGCCATTCGACGCCGCGCCGGCACTTGGCCTTCGCGACACGGTGGTAACCAGACCTGTAACCGGCGGCGGGAGTTCCCTCGCACAGCCTGCGCGAAATCATTCCTTCGCGCAGAACGTTCCAATAGCGACCTCGGGCCCAATCGCGCGACACGGATTTTCCGCGATGTCGGGCGCGGAATCACCGCGCTTATCGCCCACTGGGAGCGTATCAGGTCACAACCAACGGCGCTTCGCGACTCGGGGTCGTGACGGCGACGCGAGTCGCAACTATCAGGCTTCGACCCTCACCCGACCTGGGGACTTCGCAGTAACAACCGCATCTCAAGCGGAGTCGCGAGAGGCGTTCCCCGGCGGCGACTGTCTCTTTAGCGGCAGCGGCTCCACGTTCCCCCCAATCTCCCCGACCGGCGGAATCTCCCCGCGCCACCCGCCGACCCACAGTCACGGCGCGTCTACCGGCGCCGCCGCGGCGTCTCAGAAGGGGTCGCTGCTCGCCGCGCCCTCCGCCGCCGGGTCCGGCGCCCCACCGCCTTCTAAATGCGCCAGCAGCAAGCTCGCACTGGAAATGTTGCACAAGATGCGGCAAGGCGGGTTAGTGTTACCGGGGGTATCAGTACCCGGCCAGCCCTTACTCTCCGCCGCAGATGCTGCTATGCTCGCGAATGATGGCGCATTCGCGGGTTTCGACGGCTTGGAAGACGTCAAGACAGATATGACGGCTTCTCGTGCTGCTCCTGCTTCAGCTTCTGCTCCTGCCCCTGCCCCAGCTCGTGTCAGTACTGCGTCTGCTGCTGCTGCTCCTGCTGCTGTTTCTGCTTCACTTTCCCGCGTTCCCCAGGCGCTGATAGGCATCCGGGGGCCGGACGCGTCGGGTGCACTGCTGATCGGGAGCCGGCCAAGCCAACCTGCCATGAGATCTCCACGCACAAGCCCGCTGAGCCAACCCGGTGTTAGGTCACCCCGCGCAGGAGCAGGAGAGGCCGGAACCCCTGGAGATGCGAGAGGCAGCGGGGATGGAAGCACGCAGGCGCTGGACTCACCTCGCATGGGCGCTTCAGGTGCAGGTGGGGCAGTGGCAGCAGCAGGAGGGGGAGGAGGAGGAGGGTCAGTACGGGCGCCAGGAGTGAAAGCCCAGGTGATGTCCGAAGGAAGAGGAGGTGCGGGGCCTGCCACGTCAGCGCCGTTGTCGGGAGGCGGGGCGGGTTTGTCGGGTGGATTGTCGGCGGAGGACGACTGGCGGCCGCGGAGTCGAACGCGGTTTGACGCCGAGGCGATGCGCAAGGGGGAGATCAAGCCACGGAGCATGAAGGAGAGACGGCGGCGAGACAAGATCAGGTGCGTTTGACGGTGGTTGGTGGGTGTGAGGTGGAAGGGAGTCAGGGAAGTGTAAGAGAATTTTTGGTGTTAGCTGGATTGTTGTAGGTGCGCGAACTTGTTGCATGTGGAGCTATTTAACATTGCCAAGCTCGACTCGTCCGTTCATGTCATCATGCTCTCCTGTGCCCCATTTCCTGCTTGTTTCCTTCTATTCCTTCACAGCGAGGGGTTGAGGCAACTACGGCAAGCCATCCCAGAAAGTCTGTTGGGTGCACAACAAGACATGGGTGCTATGATCGAAGCAGCAGTCCTGCACATAAGCAATCTACAGGTACGTGTATCGCGCTATCATGGATGTTTAGTATGTCCCACATATGGTACTTTCTTAATTACGGAAATGCTGATTCACTCTCTCGTGGTATTTTGTGCAGGCTCGAGTGAGCAAGCTTGAAAGAGGTGCAGCGATTGAAGAGATTGTAGACAGAATGCAGCCATGATTATGTAGGCTCTCTTGTGCTTCAAATGAATGTTGTTTTGTGCTACTCTGGTATGAAGGTCGGTGTCCATGTGGTTCAGTATGTATGCTTAGAGCGTACACCTATAGTGTATATCAATCGGTTATTAATGGACTGTACAAGCCATATTGTACGCGTTGAACCTAGTCGACAGCTTTCACAATTATTGGGCCATTTTCAACGGCATTCAACTTAGGGTTTCCGGGCTCTGGGCTAACCTCTGGTCAAACCTCTGGTTAACACTGTAGACAACCTTGCAATTAGCACACTTGGTGAGAAATAGGCATGATTTCGGTTAACCAGAGGTTTGACCAGAGGATCTGACCGGAGCCCGGAATGCACCCTTATGCCAGTGCGATTTTGCAGATGCATACGATAGACGGCCGTAGGGGAAACAGGCTGACGGACCGTTATCTGCCCGCAGTCTGGATGGCATGCGATTAGGGGAGCGTCAACCCTAAACACGGGTTACCGCGTGAATTTGCCGGCAGGCCGACATCATCCCCCGAACCGTCTATTGTATGCATTTGCAAACCCGCACTAGCGGAAGGAGCAGGAATCGAACGCACTACTGTGCACCTTCACAGGCAATGACAGGTTCGGCAACAATTTGCGGGCTGACCATGAAAAAAAAACTAAGTATCGAAACAGCCCCGATAGTTCCGCGGAAGGGCTTGGCTGCCTGTCGAGCAGGGCTTTGGTTTTGATTCTCGGAAAGGAACAAGCACAGCCCTTGGCGACCTTGCAAGCCACCTGTAATGTCAATTCTCTCGCCAGGTGGACGGATGTAATTGGCATAGGCTTCTAACGTGACCCTTGGAGAAAGCCGCAACCGCAAGCCACCCGAAACCCTAACCCTGACCGTTTCGGGTGGCTTGACTGGGAGTCAACTCACTGGGCCAGTTCTTCTCCTACCCCTCCAACCGCTTCCCCTCTTTACACCTTCCGCTGGGGCATAATCTTGGAAGGAGACCTGGGACTTTGGGGGGCTTCAAATGGGCAAAGGCAGATGAAGCTGAACGCCTTCTGGGGGTCTGGATCACCCCCTCCGGTAGCAGCGAACTGACATGGTTAAGGGCTTTCGAGAAAATTACAGTGGAGCTGATCAAGTGGAAAGCGCTTTTCCTTACGATTGCGGCAAGGGTGGTGATCATAAACTGCTACATCACGCCTAGGGTAGCTTACCAGGCTCAAGTTTACCCCCCACCGGAAGAAGTCTGGAAGAAGCTGATGAAGTTAATTCATAACTTTCTGTCGGGGAATAACGCGTCGGCGGATGGAGGTTTTGTGTTGTGGAGCTGGGATCTCCTCTCTACTCCGCGAGGTGATGGGGGGCTCGGAGTACTGGACCCGGAGGTCCTCATGGCTTGTCTTGCGGCCAGGAGAATCGCTGGACTCCTGTCGGAGGGGAACGGCAAGAAAAAAGAAATCATGCTTAAAGCGGCGGGGCTCCCAATGGGAGAAGACACTTTCACGGCGCACGAAAAGGTGTTGAAGCACTGGCCGGGACACGGGGAGCGGTGGAAGCAGACCTGCGAAACTTTCCTGAAATCGCCTCTCGCTGACACAGGGAAAGTCAGTAGCAAGGAGGAGGTGGCGCTGGAAAGAATTATTTTCGACAGGAACGTGCTGCTGAACGGCACTAACCCAGTGGGCGGGCAGAAGGAGGCGAAAGGGCTCTGGGATACTCGCATGGGGGACCTGGTAACCACATCGCCCTCAGGCGAAGCAGCAGTTAAGGACATGGATGTCTTGGAAAAAGAGTTGAGGGGCAAGGACTCTGCTCGGCTGGCTCTCAAAGCCTTTGCTGCAGCCCCGGAGGAGTGGAAAACCCTGCTGATCCCCAACGGCACGGCTGGAGGAGGAGGGGAGAAAGAAGCGGTTACAGCGGTGACAGCAGGGGGGTGTCGCGGGGCCACGGCTTCAATTTTCCGGTCAGCAATTTTTGACGGAGAGCGAGCAGCTTCTCTGAAGCGGATGAGGGAGGTGTGGACCAAACCCGATGCAGTCCTAACGAAGCAGGCAAAGTGGTCTGGTCGATGGTGCGGCAAGATTGACTGGCAGCGAATCATTCGCACACGTAACTCGCTGGCCATCCCGAGCCGACCGAGAGATGTCCTCACACGGGTGCATAACCTGAACCTTCAGGTCGGGGAGCGAGTTGATTTTCTCAGCTGCAAGCCAAAATGCCCATACTGCGGAGTGGAGGAAACGCACGAACACTGTCTTTTCTCCTGCCCGAGAATTCAGCCAGTTGTCTCAGGGCTCCGTCGTGCTCTGCGCATGCTCAATCCAGGGAGGTCAACTGCCTCGCTGGGGGACCTCTTGTTCCAGGAAACCGGAACGGCGTCGGATTTCCCGGAGGCTACCCTCACATCGATTACTTTTCATCAGCTGTGGGTGGAGAGATGTGAAGCAACTTTCCGAGGGCAGAAATTCAGAGCCCGGAGGGTTCTCAGGAGGATTGGGTCGGCTTTTAGGCTACACGCGAGAGTGTACACGAGAGCAATGGGTGCCAAAAGCTTGCGGCCAGGGACATCAGGGAAGGGAAAACGGGTCAGGAGTGTTTTCGAAGCGGAGCAAAAAATGCTGGCGAGGATAAGGGAGACAGGTGACAAAAAATGGAAGTGGTCGACAAACTTCGCTGCTATCTGGAACAAGCCAAAGCGGGCGTTCCTGCCGCCCTAGATGCATTACTGGGCAGTGCATGGTGCAGTGCCCTCACGCTCAGTTACGACTGCTTTTGATGTATGCATTGTCCTCATAAATGTATATGTCAAAAAAAAAAAAAAAAAAAAAAAAAAACCTTCCACTTCCCCTCCCCGCCCCACACGTCACCATCATACTTCACATGTTTGTGTTCTTGTGACGTCACCTGATTGTCACGTGAACCTCTCCGCAAAAACGACCACTTCCACAAATCCACCTAGCTTTCTCCAATCAGAGCTATTGTAAGCTTTTCCGCCAGCTTCCTGGCCTGATCTCTTGCTGGAAACGGGTGAATCTCCAGCTTACTCTGTTCATCGGAAACTGTCGCAGCTGACATTTACTGAGCAACAGGCTGCCATGGCGGTGCCCTCCTTTACTAGCGCCTAACTCCCTCTTTAGTTGCAACTGTATATCTGATCCCAATAAGTTATCGAACATTGGAAATACATGTCTCGAACACGACTCTAATCTCTTTTCAGAAGAGAAGCGGAAGGGCTGCCTTTGAAGGGTGACTGGCATTGCGGGCCGGGAAGGAGTAAATGAAGTATGGGGTATGGCTCACGAGTCACGACGTCCCTCAGTCGTATGAGCGGCTGGGCGGCGATCGGTTGTACGTTAGCGTGACTGGACAGTGGGTAGCGGTAGCCATATCGATATCTAGACTGAGGACAAAGCGACGACAGTTACAAGTTGTCAAACCCAGATTTTACTCCTCCTTGCCGCCCAGGCCAGCCTCATGCTCCTTCACACGTCGCTGAGGACTCCTCACCTCTCTAGGTCAGCGACGAGATTGGTGGCGAGCATCACCACCCCTCTCCGTTTCCCAAGCTGGCATCCTACAAGGAGCAACTAAATCCGCCAGTTCATGGCGCCAGCGCAGCACGCACGGACTAGGGGGGACGAGAGAAGGGGCACCATGAAGGTTAGCAGGCCAAGCCATGGCCTTTCAACAAGATTGGAAGGCGCGAAGAGAAGCAGGAAAGTCAGGAGGAGCAAGAGCAGCACAGCAGCAGCAGGAACAGCTGGAGGGTTATTAGCCGTACGAACACGTGTCGATGTCTGACAAGTTGTCTTTTTGGGCCTTCCGATTTTCCCAGACGAATACACACTTCTCGTTCGTTGACACCCATGCTCACGTGTTTCCACCTCAGGGCAAATGAGAAACGCAGGTTGGGTATTCCAAGATTTTCTTCTCAGATGCCCGTGCGTGTGAGAGACGACGCGCGTTGTCGCTCGACGCCAGGTCAGATTGGTTCGATGTGGCATGTCAACTCGGAATCCTGTCGTGGCTCGTTAGATATAGACGAAAATTAGACAATAAGCGTGCACCCTCGCCGCGACAGAAGTTCTAGGCTCGTGCTTAAAGGCCACTCGAGAAACTTTCTCGAAAATCATTCTGCGTCTTCCAATGTGACGACATTGTGTTCACTTAGTATTTTCGCCGAACAAATTTGGGATGAATAAGCGACGATCAAATCGCTCCGCGACAGATCAAGACTGTAAAGCTGCGATTCAGAAACCTCGTCTTGCGTTACAACGAGGCTCCAAGTTGGACTGTGGAGCCGTCTCGCGACAGTGGGGAGCTGGGCTTGCGGCGGTGAAAGCTTGTTTTACACTACCGTGTTTCCATGGGCACACTTTTCACACGAGATAGTTACTGGCAGCCCCCGGTGCCCCCTTGCTTATCTCCTTCGCTTATCGTAGCGGCTTGGTGCGACCCTAGTCTTTCCACCCACGTAGGATATCAGCGAGGAAGAGGAAGGGGTTTGAAGTTACCCACTCACCATTTCCTTTTACAAAGTCTGTCGGATGTTTATTCCCGTCACCACCGGAACCGCTTCCGAAGAGTCCTATGATATTAGCTTTCGGCCTTGCTTCCCGAGTCGCACCACTCCAACAGCAAGAAACACCTCTCAGGAACCTTCAGGCGAAACCTCCTCAGCAATCCAGAGACGCGGCAGCGAGTAGACGCCGCAGAGATGGACCAACAAGGTCGCGTTCAGGATCAACTCGAAGCAGCTGGACCTTTGGGGGAGCTGTTGGGGCGTCATGGTGGGGACCCCAGCATTAGAGCCCACTTTCAGACGTACGACAAGCCCGCATTTGCCGGATATGGCCCAGATTTTGCGACCCCAAATTCTGGCCCGGGGCCCTCAAGTTGGACGGCTGTATCAGGAGGAACCAAGCTGCTGGAAGAAGGCTGTGTAGGGGAGTTGTTGGGGCGTCATGGCGAGGACCCCAGGGTGGGAGCCGTTTTGGAGACGCACAAGCAGCGCGCATTTGCCGGATATAGACCTTCGAGATGGAGTACTGACGGGGGAGGAATCAAGCTGCTGGGAGAAGCCCGCATGGGGGAGTTGTTGGAGCAGCATAAAGAGGACCCCGGCATTGGAGCCATTCTTGAGACAGCTAACAAAAGCAAGAAAGGCACATCATGTGCATATAAATTATCTTTCTCGCACTCGAGCTGTGGAGCAGGAAAAATCAAGTCTCTTGGAGAATGCGGCATCCCAAAGGCTTCCGAAGTCTGGTTTGGTTGGGGGCGTGATGGACATGGCCTCCGCATTGGAGAGATTCTTGATATACCTAACCGAACCCCATGTGCACATGGATCATCTTCTGCGCACTTGAGCTGTGGAGCAGGCGATATCAAGTCTGTTGGAGAATGCGACATCTCAACGACTTCAAAGGCGTCATTTGGGTTGGGGTGCCATGGCCAAGACACCATTATTGAAGCCGGCATGCGCCAGCCTCAGATGCCCACGTGCATTCTCGATGCCACGTGTGAAGCAAGCATGTACCAGCCTCAGATACCCACGTGCATTCTCGACGCTACCTGTGAAGCAAGCATGTACCAGCCTCAGGCATCCACCTACATTCTCGACGCGCAGATAGCGAGTCAGGAGGAGAGTGGTCTCTTGGAGGAGCTACTGAGGAGCCATGGACGGCTTGAGAACCCTACATCCACCTACATCGTTGCGCCGCCTTTCAGGTACAGCCAGCCTCGTCCGCTTACTGAGAACCCTCGAATCCGGAATCAGGGGGAGAGTTGTCCCTCGAAGCGGCATGGGCGACTTGAAGATCGCACGACGGCACCCGTTATGTATCCTCCTCGCTTGCCGATTCAACCCCAGGAGGCCACGGCTCTTCCGTCCCATACAAATGCTTCGAAGAATTCTTCTGAAGTCCCTTCTTTGGAAAAAGCTGTCGCTGAGCTTTTTGAAGAGGAGCAGCGACAGCGCCAGCGACAGCAGGAGCAGGAGCAGCGGCAGCAGCAAGTGGCAGTGGAGAGGTGGATCGCACAGGCTTTAAGCGGCTTTGCAGCAGAGAGGAGTCTTGAGGCGCCTCAAAGGCTGGGCTCCTCCGCACCAGAGAGACTGATATCTGTCTCGGGCTCTGGAGGTATCAAGTCCATTGCTGGAGATGCAACAACCAGAAAAGAGCGCATGGTGGAACCATCATGCTTTGGTCATGCCAAGTCCCCCAGTGAAGGATACGCACCAACTAGAAGAGAGAGTATGGTGGTATCTGACTCTGCAGGCATCAACAGCATTAACAGAGAGGCGGCAGCTTCGGCCTCTCTGGTGCAGCAGCAGCAAGTGGCGACAACCAGCTGGGTGGCACAGGCTGAGCTGGCAGGGCTGGCTCTGCCGCCCGATCTGATCCGAGAATCTGCAGACGCCGCCCGGTTTGCACGGGTGCAAATGCAGATGCAGATGCAGAAGCAGAAGCAGAAGCAAGCTGAGGGGGGGTCATCGAATCTGCGAGAGAGTTTTGACAATCTTCAAGTGCAGGATGAAGAGGAAAAACTGGCTCTGCTTTTCCCAGAGCGGCAGGAGGGCGCCTGCATGGGTAGAATGCTGGATGAGGTGGGGTTGCTGGGGGGGGAGGAGCAGGGAATGATGCTGGAAGGTGGGATGATGCAGGAAGAGGGGATGCAGAAAGGGGGGATCCAGGAGCATCAGGAGTGCACATGGCAGGAGGGACAAGGCAGCGCCAGCATGCAGCATGCATCTGCAGGCGAGCTTACCGGGCCAGGCAGCCTCCACTCGCACGACAGCGCATATCTTCCAACCTCGCCAGCATCCACTGCTGCTGCTGCCGCCGGCGCTGCTGTTGCTGCTGCCGGTGGTGTTGCTGCTGCTGCTTCTTCTTCTTCTTCTTCTTCTTCTTCTTCTTCTTCTTCTTCTTCTTCTTCTTCTTCTTCTTCTTCTTCTTCTTCTTCTTCTTCTTCTTCTTCTTCTTCTTCTTCTTCTTCTTCTTCTTCTTCTTCTTCTTCTTCTTCTTCTTCTTCTTCTTCTTCTTCTTCTTCTTCTTCTTCTTCTTCTTCTTCTTCTTCTTCTTCTTCTTCTTCTTCTTCTTCTTCTTCTTCTTCTTCTTCTTCTTCTTCTTCTTCTTCTTCTTCTTCTTCTTCTTCTTCTTCTTCTTCTTCTTCTTCTTCTTCTTCTTCTTCTTCTTCTTCTTCTTCTTCTTCTTCTTCTTCTTCTTCTTCTTCTTCTTCTTCTTCTTCTTCTTCTTCTTCTTCTTCTTCTTCTTCTTCTTCTTCTTCTTCTTCTTCTTCTTCTTCTTCTTCTTCTTCTTCTTCTTCTTCTTCTTCTTCTTCTTCTTCTTCTTCTTCTTCTTCTTCTTCTTCTTCTTCTTCTTCTTCTTCTTCTTCTTCTTCTTCTTCTTCTTCTTCTTCTTCTTCTTCTTCTTCTTCTTCTTCTTCTTCTTCTTCTTCTTCTTCTTCTTCTTCTTCTTCTTCTTCTTCTTCTTCTTCTTCTTCTTCTTCTTCTTCTTCTTCTTCTTCTTCTTCTTCTTCTTCTTCTTCTTCTTCTTCTTCTTCTTCTTCTTCTTCTTGCTGCTGCTGCTGCTGCTGCTGCTGCTGCTGCTGCTGCTGCTGCTGCTGCTGCTGCTGCTGCTGCTGCTGCTGCTGCTGCTGCTGCTGCTGCTGCTGCTGCTGCTGCTGCTGCTGCTGCTGCTGCTGCTGCTGCTGCTGCTGCTGCTGCTGCTGCTGCTGCTGCTGCTGCTGCTGCTGCTGCTGCTGCTGCTGCTGCTGCTGCTGCTGCTGCTGCTGCTGCTGCTGCTGCTGCTGCTGCTGCTGCTGCTGCTGCTGCTGCTGCTGCTGCTGCTGCTGCTGCTGCTGCTGCTGCTGCTGCTGCTGCTGCTGCTGCTGCTGCTGCTGCTGCTGCTGCTGCTGCTGCTGCTGCTGCTGCTGCTGCTGCTGCTGCTGCTGCTGCTGCTGCTGCTGCTGCTGCTGCTGCTGCTGCTGCTGCTGCTGCTGCTGCTGCTGCTGCTGCTGCTGCTGCTGCTGCTGCTGCTGCTGCTGCTGCTGCTGCTGCTGCTGCTGCTGCTGCTGCTGCTGCTGCTGCTTCTCCCTACCCGTCCGCTGCCCCTGGTGCTTCCTGCTCACCTGCTGCTGCTGGTGTTTCTCACAAGGGAGAAAGAAGGCATGCCTCCACAGTGCAGCAACCTATTGGAACCACTAGGAGGTCTCTATTCTCGCCCTCCACTCCTGGCGTTTGCTGCACATCCTCTGCGCCTGGTGCTCCCTTCCCACCTGCCGCCACTCCTGCTGTCTGTCTTAAGAGGGAAAGAGATGGTTCTGCTTATCAGGGGGAAGGACACGCCTTCACAATGCGAGAGCCTCCTGCCACGTGGACGCCCCTGGTTGGCTCGGGGAATGACCTGTGGTGGTTGGAACAGATGGGAGTGGGAGACGAAAACGGAATTGTGAGACTGGCGAAGCGGGAGGAAGAGAGGTGGAGTGAGGAGGACTGGGAGCATCGCGGACTTGGCGCAAAGCACAAGTCCCTTTTTGAGGCGCCACAACAGTCGCCTTTTACGTCATCGCAAGTCTCGCCCTTCAAGGCACCACCACAAACATTGCCTTCTCAGGCACGGCAATTACCCGCTGAGCACTGGCGGCTGCGCATTCGAGCACGACTGGATGGTCAGGCGGTGGGGCTGGGATGCATCCAGGCGAGGAGCATGAAGGAGAGGTGCCGGCGCGACCGCATCAGGTGACTTGCACCTCCTCTTGCAACACCTGCTCCCCCTCTCTCCTCTCCTTCGCTCCTTCCCTCTCTAACCTTTCCCCCGCTGTCCCTCCCCCTCCTGTCCCTCCCCCTATCCCTCCACCCACCCACCCCTCCTCGGTTTCCCTCGCCCTCTTCACGTTCACAACTGTATCCATTCTCTACTCTACCCCCTTTGCCCTTTCCTTGTTTGGTTCTCGCTGCTGTCAGCATTTTGGCTTGTACCGTAAGTGAGCCCTGAGTCAAATGGGAGACCTGGATGAAACGTGAAACCGAATCTCTGACCTTATTGAAATCCGGTGCGTATATCGAATGTGCTTGTATCAGGAGAGGCCTGGAGCAGCTACATCGAGCATTACCCCCATCTCTCGCAAGAGCACAGCTCGGTACAGCCACAATGGTGGAGTCTGCATTCACTCACATAAAAAACCTACAGGTACACTCGCAGTTTCTAATATTTTTAGTGGTCTTATAACTCGTGAAAATTATTGCTAGTCCTGTTATTAAATGTGACCGACACGTGTGTATGTTTCCACAATCTTTGTCCCAGCCATCTGCCACTGCTGGTTAAGGCTCAAACAGCTGCTGAGGGGGAATCTTGGAGTAGTTTCAAACAAGTATTTTTTTTTCGTCTGAAATAGTTTCTGCCTTCCGGTGTTCTTTTGATACCTGCAGGCCCGAATTGAAGCCCTGGAGAACTCCGGAAATGCTGCTGGAGCTGCTGGAGCCGCCAAGACATCAAGATCTGCAGTGGAGGAGAGAGCATGCAGCTCGGCTGTAGGTGCACGCACGTCTAGGGGGACTTCTCAGTCGATTTAACTGTCACTGGAGAAACCAACCCTGCTGTGAAGGGAGCATTCAGGGCGACTCTTGTCTTTGACTGCGAAGTCAACTGGAGAAGCGGAGATCTGCAGTGGAGGAGACAGCATGTGGCTGGGCTGCAGTCGATTCAACTGTCGCTTGGCTGCACTTTCCATGCTGCACTTCCCCAGAGTGCTCTACTGGTGAATTTCCCGGTGCCAAGTTTCGCCTCGGCTCGCTGGTGCGCACTGCGCAGCATCAAAACGTTTTCAGGCGCTACAAAAGAATAAGCCTGTGCCAAGCCTGCTAATATCTTTTACACGGTGCAGCAACGTTCTGTCTGACATCGTGTCGACACTCTTACGGAATAAGAGCTTGTTGTTTGGTCTAGCCTCTGGTCTGGTGTGGTTCAGCACATGTATTGTAGCCTAGTCTGCTTTGGTTGTGCATATAGTGTAGTGCTATTGAGCAGTGCATGGTACCACAAATGATGTACGCATCAACTGATTCAGTTATTTCTCACATCACAATATACCCTTCACCAACACATTTGCTTTGTCTATGAGCCAGTTCCCCTGCGCCTCCGACACGTTCTTATGAAGCAATGGCATTGTAACGAGAAGATATTGCTATGCGCCAGCCTATCCTAACTAACCCAAGCTAAAGGAGGAGAGACCACCAGTTTCTAATGGACATGAATGGATAGAATAGATTGGGTGCATGGCTGAAACCATGTCCTATCTTTACAGCATAAAAGGCTTTGATAATATTCACCAGCAGCCATTTAGGGGGTTTACCCTGATCTTGTAAGCATGCTCTGCTTAGATGAAACAGGGGCAACGGCTAACGGTTTCTATTCCAGCAACCATGTTTATAGCGAACTGTTGCGGCTGTCCTTTAGCGAACAGGTTGCCAAGACAGCAACCTCTTCGATTGGGAGCAGGAAACCTCTTCACAGAAACCTATGGCGCAGGAAAACCAGACCCCTTCGAATTTTTACAACACCCTCTCTGTCTTGTTCCTTGCCATCGATTTGATTCTCCATTCTCGCAGTCAACTTTGCAAGCACATACGCGAGATGTGCCAATACACCGACCAGAGTGTATGACGGGGGGTATAGCTACGATTCCCTCAGTTGTTGGCGGTTCCGATCGAGCAGCATGTTGATATCCTGACTGAAAATGGCGGTGTCGAGCTCATAAATAGTAGTAGGATCCTTACTGCCGCCCAACCTAGCTAACTCTACCACCCGTTTGTAAAGCGCAGCGACGAGAACCACTCACTGACCATTCGACCGTGGCGGGGAAAACCACATGTTTACACGCGCCGCCCACTTTTTTCCAGAGGCTCGCATTACTCGCCAAGATCGATGAATCGGCCAGCTCATAAAGCCAGCGCAACATGGAAGCGGTGGGATGGAAACGCAACGCACAGTGCGAGCCGGGGACGAGCCTTATCTGCAAGGGTGGCTAGACGGGGCACTGTATAGAGACAAGCAGGGGTGAGCAAGAGCAGCACAGCTGGACGTAAGTCTCGGGGGTTGTCAGTCGTCGTGTCGATCCCTGATATAAGCTGTTAGGTCCTGCCGTATTTTCATACACCAATCCTGCGATAGCCCATCACGTGTGCTTGCCAGGCATTATCATGTTGCCCACTCATCCGGCTCCGAGTCAGAGTCTGACGTACACGTACAGTATGTACATCCTAGATTCCTCCTTCTCTGAAATTCCCCGCGTACTGTATGCCAAAGACCACACAAAATGTTTCGTTTCAAGTTCGCATCCTTCCTTGTTAGTTCGATAGAGACGGACAGGCGTGCAGCCTCGGCATCGCTCTCACCTAAAATGCGTCTCAAGCAAGCGCCGATCGCGGATCGCGCGTTAAAGACAGAGCCGTACCAGTGGACTTGTCTGTCACACAACCTCGTCTCAGTTAACGAGGATTCAAGTTGGACTGTGGAGCTGCCTCGCGCCGGCGGTGGGAGGTGGCTCGTAGTGCCACGTCACCATGGGCACTCTTTGCACTCGAAATGCTTACCGCCAGCCCCGCCAGCCCCTCGCTTACCTCCTTGGCATCGTAGGCCGTTGGTTGCGGCCCTTGTGCGACCACCCACGTGATAGGAAGTGTGCAAGTCAGTATGGTACCCTTAACCTTCCCATTCACCCTCTTTCAAATCTATCAAGCGTTCGTTTCCGCCGCACTATAGTAAGCCACCGCCACCGGCACGCACGCACTATTCCCGGAGCACCGCTCTTTGAATCATTACTGAATTTCCCTTCGATCAGCCTGTCCAGAAATTCTAGTAGTAGCACCACACCAGAGGTAGCAACGAGACCCTCCAGTGACTTATCCATCTGAACCTCTTCCGCAAACCAGAGAGAGGGTGTAACGCATCAGAGGGATTTCGCCCTGCAGGGATGGACCAACAAGGTCGCGTTCTTTATGATCAACCTGAAGCAACTGACCCCTTGGGGAATTTGCTTGGTCGCCACGGTGAGATCCCCAAGGTTGAAGCCTCATCTGAGACGCAGAGCGACAGCAATGCATGCGCCGCCGGGTATGGACGGTCAGGATCGAGCTCTGCATCAGGGGGAACCACGCTGGTACTCTCAAGGGAGACGCCTGACCGAATCACGTGCGGGTTTGGATTGTCAGGATCAAGCTGTGCTTCAGGAGGAACGAAACTGCTATCAGGTGAAGGCCTCTTGGGGGGTGAGTTCACCACTGGAGGCCTTCTTGAGACGCCTGACCGAACATATTATTTTAAATCTTCACGATTGAGAGGGACCAAGCCCGAAGCAGGCAGCTTGAAGGCTGTGCAGCTATTATCTGGGCGGAATGAGAAAGATACCACCATTGAGGCCAACAGCATCATGTGCGAGCCTCTCCCGATTTTCGACGCGCAGATGTGGAATGCGGAGGAGAGTGGTCGCTTGGAGGAACAGTTGGGGCATCAACGATTAGTTTTCAAGGTGCCTCGCAGAAAGTGGATGAGCAGGAGATTGGTCCTTTCGAGGAGCTGCTGAGGCGCCATGGGCAGATTGAAGATCCCAGCATCGTCGCCCCGCCCTTCATGTACAACCAGCCTCTCCTTCCTGGAGAACTCAAAATCTCAGACCAGAAAGACGGCCACGGGCAGCTTGAAGATTCCACAGTGGCAGCACTCGCGTATCCGCCTCGCTTGCCAACGCAGCCCCAGGGGCCCGTGATACTGCAGTCCAGTTCAGAAGATCTCCCCGCTTTGGAAAGGGCCGTGGCTCACCTCCTTGAAGAGGGGCAGCGAAGGCGGCAGTAGCAGCAGCAGCAATTGGCGACAACCAGCTGGGTGGCACAGGCTGAGCTGGCAGGGCTGCCGCCCGATCTGATCCGAGAATCTGCGCTTGCCGCCCGCTTTGCGCTGAGGCAGATGCAGCTTCAGGAGCAAGCAGAGTCGCAGATTCGAGCTGTTTAAGTTGGTTTTCAAAACTCTCGAGTGCAAGGTGCAAGGTTCAATCGACACAGTTTTTCTTTGAGTGGCAGCAGGGAACTTCTTTGGGAGGAACGCAGGAGGAGGTGCCTCAGGAGTGCGCATTACAGGAGGGGCCATGGCAGGAGCAGGCACTGCAGGAGGGAGAAGGGAGTGCCGGCATGCAGCATGCATCTGCAGGCGAGCTTACTGGGTCCGGAACTGGAAGCCCCTGCATTCAATCACAGGGCAATGATTTGCTTCCAGCCTCCCCTGCTGCTGCAGCTGCAGCTGCTATTGGTGACGGTGCTGCTGCGGTGGCTAATGCTGCTCCTGCCTATTCACACATTGCGTTTTTCTTGCCCAGCTCTTGTCGCGTTCAGTACACACCCTCTGCTCCTGGTGTTTCCTGCCCATCTGCTGCTGCTAGTGCTTGGTACAGGGCTGACAGAGGACATGGCTTAACAGTACGAGAACCCATTGGGTCGTCTCAAAAGCCTCTTTTCGTGCGTTCCACTTTCGGTGTTACCTGCACAACTTCTGCTCCTGCTGTTCCGGCCGCTGCAGGTGCTATGTGCTCACCTGCTGCTGCCACTCCAGGTGGTGGCACAACCGCCACTCCTGCTGCTCCCTGCTCACCTTTTCAAGCATTGCAAACACCGCTTGATGATTGGCGGCCGCGCATTCGAGCACGGTTGGATGGGCAAGCGGTGGGGCTGGGATGCATCCAGGCGAGGAGCATGAAGGAGAGGTGCCGCCGCGATCGCATCAGGTGACTTGCTCCCCCTCTTGCAACATCCCCTCCTCCCTCTCCCTCTCTTCTCTGTTCCCCACCTCCCCAACCACCCCTACTCCCATCTCTTCCCGCTGCCTCGCTCTCTTCGTCTTTTGCCTGAATTGTGTTGCATTTTCACTCTATTTATGTGTGGAAGTAGGCATTTGATTTTTTTCTTTTCCCTTTTGCGTTTGGCTTGGCAAGTGAGGCCTGGATGATATCTGAGACTGAATATGTGACCTTATCCATATCCGATGCTTGTATTCAATGTGATTGTATCAGGAGAGGTCTGGAGAAGCTTCATAGGGCACTACCCCCGTCTCTGGCAAGGGCACAACTTGATACAGCCACAATGGTGGAGTCTGCTCTCACTTACATTAAAGACCTGCAGGTACACTCGGGTTCCAATATCTCTAATCTAATTGCAGTCAATGTTGGTACTTGTTTACCATCACTGAATATGTCTACCATGTAGGCATGAATCCTCAATTTGCGTACCATGCGTACCATGCGCACCGTATATGTTCCACCACCCGCTCAAGGCTCAAACAGTCGTGGAGGCATCTCAAGTTCGCTCTCTGTCTGCTGAACGAAGGAGCTGTTGCTCATGTGTTTTTGCGTTTATGCATTCATGCAGGCCCGGATTGAAGCCATGGAGAATTTGATCGGTGTTGCCATCAGGTCATCAAGATCTGCCATGGAGGAGACGGCATGTGGCTCGGCTGCAGGTGCAGGCGCATCCCGGGTTACTTTTGAGTCGATGTAACTGTCTCTGGAGGCACCAAGCCCTGCTTCAAAGGGAGCATTCAGGGCGACTCTTTGGTGACTCGAAGGTCACTGGAGAAACCAAGATCTGCAGTGGAGGAGACAGCGTGTGGCTCAGCTGCAGTCGATTTGACCGTCACTGGACTGCACTTTCCTTGCATTTCCCCAGATTGCACTAACTTTTTTGGTGCCAAGTTTCACCCCACTGGTCCCTGGTGCGCACACGGCAACATTTATTTTTGGGTTGCGACGCAACCTATTACAATCGTTATGTTCAATTTTTTTTTTCATATTTTGTAAAATTAAAATATGAAAAAAATCAACGAGAACTACTTCTCTATACTTGTTGTGATACGTATGTGGCCATGTGCTCCGTTCCGTCTGTGTGTTAACCTTTTGCCTACTTTGTGTCTATGAATCCAGCAATGCGTATATTAGTATGATGGTTTAATATAATGATTGCATAATGCATGAATATGATGCGTAGTAGAATTCATAATAGTATGGTACATGTTACTGCAGTATGTATGCCATTAAATGATGGAAATGCGTGATAGTTTGTTGTGTAGTCTAGCATACATACGTATGCTATCACGCATTTCGATCATTTAATGGCATACATACTGCAGTAACATGTACCATACTATTTCGTCGATTTCGTCGACGATTACGTCGACGATTACGTCGATTACGCAACCCTAAGACGATTTCGTCGCCTCTTGTTTTTTTTTTTTTTTTTTCAGGCGCCTCAGAAGCGTGCTGATACATTGCAATCAGCACGGCAAAGTTTCGCCTGGCATCATGTCGCCATTCTGGCGGAATAGAAGTTTGTTGTGTAGTCTAGCCACTAGTGTAGTTCAGCACATGTAGTGTAGTCTTGTATGCTTTGGCTGTGCATATATTGTAGTGCTAAATGTTGGAAACAATCGGTCTTAGGCGCCTCTGTCGTGTCGAAACACTAAGGCACAAATGAAGCAGAGCATATCGAAGCACCGGCGAGTCAACCCTCGGAGGTTGAAGCAACCGCTGGAGGTTACGGGGAAGTCAAAGGTCAGCGACCTTTGACCTGACAAATACAGCGCGACAGCAAGGACACACAACTGACTCGCTACAGAGCAGTTGCCCGAGTCGTCGCTGTATCGAACCGCAACAGCAACAGTAAAGTAGTTACAACCGTACCTCTTCGTATTCCTTGTACTCTTATATATATTCTTGTATCTCTTTGTTTTAATCAATCTACTTTGCCCTCACATACTAGCGCAAGGTGGTTCACAACTCTTCAATTGACGCTTCCGCTATTACACCAACTCTACCCAGATTTCACCCCTGTAAAGATCCTAAGGGCTTTTTTTCAGCCCAACATGGTATGAGAGCTATCAGGGGGAATTCAACTTCTATACCGGGAACATCAACAGGCATGGCTACACAAAAAGAAAGGAGCAACTCCAACGGCTCCCAGGGCACTACACCTACTCCACCTCCTGCCTCTGGCCTACAGACAGAGGAGGGCACGGCAACGAGACCAAGGGCGACGTCTACCGAGACTCCCACGAACCAACCTGCAGACTTCGACCAGAGCATGATGGAGAAGTTCTTCTCCTTCATGTCCTTCTACGAGCAACACCAGCAATCGGCACCTGCGCAGTCACACAACAGCAACAACAACGGAGCAACGCCTATGAGTCTCGACGGCTCATCATATGCACGAGGAAATCAACAACAACAGCCTACCTTTGCTCCGTACGAACGCGGGTCCATCAGCTTCATGCCACACCCACAGCCTTCACCTGGACAAGAAAGGTCACTGGACGCATTACAAGTTCAGTCGCAGTTCGCACACGTTCTGAAGATGCAGACGTCAAGACCATTCGATGGAAAGGACTTCTTCACCTGGTCGTTTGAATTCGAGCTGATGATGGAAGGCGCGCAGATACTTGGCTTCTTCGACGGGTCCCTGCCATACCCAACAAACGGCATATATCAGCCGTTGTCGCGAACTGCGCGACAAGCTCCTTCGATGCGGAGGGTCGATATCTGAAGACGCCTTCGTGACAGTTATCATCGGCGGCCTCGGTCCTCAATGGCGCGCCACGAAAGCTATTCTCCGAGCACATGGAAGAATCTCCGAAGCAGCACTCTGCGCCGAAATCCACGCCGAGCAACAATACATGGATCTGCAAGAAGAACGACACAAAAAGAAGACATCAGCACCGGAATTCGCGTTCCACACTCAGCGACGCTACTACAACAACAACAACCGGCAGCAGCAACCGAAGCCAGTACCTCCGTTCTGCCACATCTGCAAGACATCAGGGCACCCGCGCACGCACTGCCCGAATCGTCAACAGTCAACAACTCCACAGCGGCAACTTCGACCTTCAAGCAGCCAAATCGCCTCAACGCAAGCAAATCCCACGACCCAGGTTCAAGCTTCAACAACTTCAACGGGACAACCTGCACAAGGAGCAAGAAACATCGTCAGCTGCATGGCAAAGCTGAGTGACTCCTGCATCACCGGGTCACCACCACACTACTCACCGGAAGAACAACTCGACGAAACCACACCCCGCCGCGAGTCACTTCAGCCGAACCCGACATACGCCGCCATCGCCCAAAGCGAACCATCCGCAAAGGACACATGGTTCTTGGACAGTTGCTGCGGACAGCACATGTGCTCCTCGGGACGCTTCGTTCAACGAGAACACCAACTTCAACGCGAAGTCGTCATTACAGTCGCCAACAATCAGAACCTGCGAACACGACGACAAGGTGTAGTTCAACTTCAGTCAAGGGAAACAAACGTTATACTGCAGATGTCAAAGGTACTAATCGCGGAGGGACTCGGCTACAACTTACTGAGCGTCAGTCAGTTGATGGCGAAGGGCATTCACCTCGAGGCAGACAGCACCACCCAAGAATTCAAGATGTATCACGGGAGAGGAGGACTTTACATCGGCAAGGCGGTCCTCAAGAACAACGTCTTCGCTCTTGACTTTGTTCCTGATCTTGGCACCGCCGACAGCGACGCCATCGTTAACTTCACCAACTGGACACACCCTCCAGACCTTGATCCAGACTTCAGTCCAGAAGGCTTCTGGTACTCACACACCAAACCCTGAAGCAGAAAGAACAAGGGCGTTAGCAACAATTCAGACAACATCGGCAGCAGCAGAGACAACATCGGCAGCAGCAGAGACAACATCGGCAGCAGCAGAGACAACATCGGCAGCAGCAGAGACAACATCGGCAGCAACAGAGACAACATCGGCAGTAGCAGAACCATCAACGGCAGCAGCAGGAACGTCAACACCAATTGCTGGTCCTTCAACGGCACCGCTCCTCATCGACGACACACCACCGACACCCGCGCAACAGCTACACCCAGCGTCACGAGAAGTTCATCGTAGCGCCAACTTCACCGCCAACTTCTACTCCAACTCCGATCTGTACCGACGATCACCCGGACATCGCGCCGACGAAAGCACCTGGCACGCAAGGATGGGACACCCAAGCAACACAGTATTAAATAATACGATAAGAGCAGGAGTACTTGACAAGGACTCACTACTACTGACCGACGGAAGAGAACTTCAACGAGTACGCGGAACGTGCTTCACCTGCCCTGAAGGTGACTTACCACATCGACCGTTCGCGTCTCACCATAACCCAAGCGCACCAGCTTACGCGCCACTCGAGAAGGTGTACAGCGACATCCTGTACAATCGCGAGCCGGGGCAGAACACATACAACTACACCATCACGTTCATCGACGCCGCGACACGTTACGTTTGGCACCTAAATCTTCCAAGCAAGGATATGGCGTTCGAAGCGTTCGTCGCCTGGCTCCCCGTAGCAGAAAGGGAATCGGGCGTCAAACTAAAGAGCTTCCAGTCAGACGGGGGAGGAGAATACACCTCACAGAGGTTCAAGCAGTACTTGGCTGAAAGAGGAATCAAGCGGCTCATTTCCCTTCCCTACGCCCATCAACAGCAGGGTGTAGCAGAGAGGATGAACAGGACCCTCCAGAACACCATGCGGAAACTGTTACGTGGCATGCGGCTACCCACTCACCAGTGGCCAGAAGCAATGGACCACGCCGTGATGCTGCACAACTTGCTTTCTTCGTCGTCACTACCGAACAACACATTACCGCATCTGCTGTGGACAGGAAAACTGGGCAGCACAAAAATGTTACGAGTCTTCGGCTGCATGGTACAGTACCGACCTCCATCTGCACGAGCAGGACGATTCTCCCAACGGGCACAGTGGGGACTACACCTGGGCATCGAAAAACAGTACAACGCATGGAAGATTTTCGACGTCGAGACAAAAGAAACAGTGGCAGCACGTGATGTCATTTTCTACGAGCGGCTCACCTTGCAAACGTACCTTGCCAACCTGGACGAAAACCAAGACCCCACAGGTGGCTTCCGTGGAGACCGAGCCTTCGCTTCGGCAGAAGACGAAGCTGACTGGGACGAGCAGAACGTGGAAGGAGCCTCGGAAGAAGCCGGACCCCTCCCGTACTGTTCCGTCGATGTCCCAATGGATGACGAAAATCCACGCGAAAGCAACAACGCCGAAGCCTTTTACCACTTCGCCGACAACGGTTACGTTACACCTGCACAAGTCAACACCGACGAAGCAGAACGCGTAGGACCTAACTTCGCACCTGATCCAGAAGCGGGAGACGAAGCAGTTTATCCAGAGGATACTTCACTCCCTCGCTACACACAGAGTGGGCTCCAAATCCTCGGTCTCGTCACCGCAGTCCACGGCGCAGCCATTCCTAAAGAGCCTGCGACAGTTCAACAGGCTCTGGGGGGGGAGCATAAGGAAAAATGGCGCGAAGCCATGGACAAGGAACTGAAGGCACTAGAGGAACGCAACACGTGGAAAGTAGTTCCCATCGGCGTAGCACGGAACAAGACCATTCTCACCGGGAAATGGGTTTTCCGCGTGAAGACGAAGGCTGACGGCACAATTGACAAATTCAAGGCA